AACAGCTTGCAAGTGAAAGCTAAGAACACAGATGCTGTGGAATAATCCTGTACACTGTGAATATATGTCCCTGTGATTGGTTTAATAAACAAGCTGACTGGCCAATAGCTGAGCAGGATAAAGTTAGGTGGGAAAGTCAAACTGAGAAGCATGTGATAAGAAGGGCAGAGTCAGATGAGTCACCAGCCAGACACAAAGGGAGCAAGAGATGAATGTGCCATGCTAATAAAGGTACCACCATGTGGCAGAGTGTAAATAAGGAATTCAGATTAATGTGAATGTAAGAGCTAGTTAGTAATAAGCCTGAGCTATTGGCCAAGCATTTATAATTTATATTAAGCCTCTGAGTGGTTACTTGGGTCAGGACAGGAAAGCTCCACCTACTCACAGACTTAGGAATGATTGTGTTAATTTGAAAAGAGCCACACAGAAAACTGGGACAAAGAAAACTGAATCCAATTTAAGACAAAAAAAAATAAGAAAAATATTATAATAAGCAGTAACCTTGAAATTAGCTAGGGAAAACTGGGAGCTACTGCATGAAGAGGGTGGGGGAGGGTCCTGGTTGGCAGGAGGACACTGGTCTGTGCTTCTCATAGTCTAGCTTGGGCTTCTGGAATGCTCACCCTCTTGCTTGGCTTCTGAAACTCCAGCGACAGAGGAGGAAACTGTCTTTGAGGAATGGTACTTTGTTTCCCTGGGTGACCTTTGCTGGTAGCAAATGCAGATGTGTGTTTCTGCCTTTGGGTTAGCTAGGTGATAGATGATCCTATTTTGGAAAGAAAATAGTCGAGTTGCAGCAGCAATATATCATTTTATGCATTCTAAGATCTGAGCCCCATAGCAGTTTTTCTGTCTCACCAACTTGTTCTTGCCTTGCTGCTGAACACATTGGAATGCAGCCAGGTTCCCCAGGCCAGACACATTAAGTATTCCTGGTGTATCCTCAGAGACAAGTCTTGGTTTTTACTGCTTCCTCCTGGGCTGGCTGACATAGGTCCTAATCAACTGGAAAATAAACTGTGCCACCTCAAGTCTCCAGCCAACAACGGACCCCTGCTCTAGCATCCTAAGAGCTGCCCGCTCTCCCCTGTCAGCAGGCCAGGGACACTTCACCCCGTTTCCTCCCTACTCGTTTCTTTATCTTCTCTCTGTCTCTGCAGTGATGCCTCTGGGTCTTCTCCAGGTTCAGTCTGTCTCCAGACTGTTCTTGTTTACTTAGAGGATTGGGTACATCCCTGACGTGTTTCCTTGCTGGTTTTTATTCTTATTTTTTCATGAAAATCTTCTAAATAGATGGTATCATCTTAAGCAAGCAGAAAGGAACAAACTTGGATGCTTTCTTTCCTATCTGCCTCATCTCCTCAAGAAGTTCCTTATCAGCCGGGTGGCGGCGGCGGCGGCGGCGGCGGCGGCGGCGGCGGCGGCGGCGGTGCACACCTTTAATCCCAGCACTCGGGAGGCAGAGGCAGACGGATCTCTGTGAGTTCGAGGCCAGCCTAGTCTACAAACCGAGTTCCAGGAAAGGCGCAAAACTACACAGAGAAACCCTGTCTTGAAAAATCACCAAAAAAAAAAAAAAAAAAAGTTTTTTATCCCCAGAAGGGAAATACATAATACCCACCATTAAATGAATAAATAAGTGGATGCTCAATTCTTCTGACAGCATTCTCTTGATTTATTTTCTTATTCTTTTGTCTAGTACCTTATTTCATCAATTGTTTTCTCCCTCGACTCTTCGAGTTCTTTCTTCCTTTGGGAAGAGGTGCCCTCTATCTTTAAAAATGTTTGTCTCTAATCCAGTGGTTCTCAACCTATGGTGTGTGACCAGCAGAAAACACATATTTCCAGTGGCCTTAGGAACTGAGACACTGCTCAATTAAAAAAAGTCACAGTTATAAAGTAGCAAAGAAAATCATTTTATAGGTGGGGGTCACTATAACATGAGGAATTATATTAAAGGGTCGCAGCATTAGGAAGGCTGAGAATCTAACGTGAAATGAAAAAACCATGAGTAAAGGCTAAATAAGAGCAAAGCACCCTGACACTGTGCGTCTCATTCATTTACTCAACTTGTTGGATGTACCTACTGCATGTCCCATCAGGTTCAGACAGAGCAGCTATTGGATTAATGAACCGACAAACACAAAGAGCTCCAGCTATGGCCGTATACCAAGGCTAGGCCAATGGTGTCTTGATGGGAAGAGCCGCCATTGGTCCTTCCAGAAAGATGACTCAGCCCTAACCCCCCTTGTCTGATGGCTTTCCTTAGGCCCATGGTCCCATCCTCATCTTCTCAGCTTCCTTGTAAGGGCCCACTGTGGTCATATGACCACTGGCAGCAGTCTGGCCCCAGTTTCCATCACATGACCACCCTGCTAAGGCTCATGGGCTATGATCTTCATCATATATCCTTGGCCTTAGACATTGTTACCCATTTCCCTATATATTCTACACCCTCCTGTTCACCTCCCGTTTCCCTAATTGCTCTGACATGAGCCCTCTTTACACTTCAGTTTCCAGGGATCAGTTTCACTCATGCCTTGCTTCAGCTACCCCATCTCTCCATTCCTGCATCCCAAGTTGTATTCAGATTTCCATTCCCATATTCCTACAACCAGCTTTCAGGGGCAGATGAGCAGTGTGGTGGTAGAGGACTCCATGCTCACACAGGTCAATCCCTTGAGATCTAGAGCTATTTGCCTATCACCTTAAGTTCCATAAATACGTTATCTGTGAGTTTTGAATTGGTGCTCTGTCCATTGGTCTACTGGATCTGACCATAACAAAACACCACAGTCTGGGTAACTTTACTAATAGAGAACCATCTCCTCACAGAGACTGGATGTTTCCTCAGAGGGCCACAGACATGTTTCAGATCTGTCTTTTTGACTTGCGGATGGCCACTCTCTTCTTGTCACATGGTCACCCTTCTCCGCTCATAGGCACCCGCTGTTTCTCTGTGTATTAATGTCCTCTCCCCATGAGAACACTGGTCGTATAGATTAAGACTTACCCAACATGACCTCATTTAACCGAAGAGCCTCTTTAAAGGGCCCATTTCCAAATACTCTGAAGTACTGGGGACCAGGACAGGTGACTCTGGGGACATATAACTTAGCAGTTAGTGAAGTCAGATGAAGGCTCAGTGTCTCAGCAAACTCTGGTCCTACTTCTTGCTCCCTTTCCATGACATGTTCTCAGCTAGCAGCTCCACAACTCTAGGCCTGCCAGACAGCTAGCAGCACCCTCTGCCCCCACTTAGGAAGCACTGGTGAGGTGCTGGAGGGTCCGACCATTCTTGTCCAGAACTACTGCTTCTTGTTTGGAGGCATCTGGCAGGGCTGAGCCTTGCACTCTTCCAAAATCCAGGTGTCTGACTGAGAAAAAAAAAAAAAGAAAGAAAGAAAGAAAAAGGAAAGGAAAGGAAAGGACGTAACTGCTTCTAGGTATGGTAGAGGAGAAAGTTCATTGTAGATAAAAGGGAGAACATAGTCAGAGGCAGGGACATCTGGGAGACTCTGGAGTGGACATGACCAGACTGAGATGGGTCATGTGGGGATAGGAGGGGAGGGGAGAGAGAGAAAGGGGAGAGGAAAACCAGGTGCAGCAGCCAGGAGGACAAAGGTCCAAAAGCGGGTGGGTAATCAAAATGTCTGGATTATATAGGGAAGAGTCTCTGGGGGAAGGGTGGCCCAGCCCCTGGGCTGGAGAGTTCAGGGTAGAGGGCAGGGTATGCCAGCCACACCCTATATTAAATAGGCACCTCAGCCACTTGTCCTGGGTTTGAAATTTAACAGGGTTCTATGTATTCTGACTGATGGAGCAATTATTTGGTTCACAGACCAGGTTCGAGAAAGGAAGCTGATGTCCCTTTTTGAGAATTTAACTAAAGCCATGGAACTTCTCCTCTGAGAAGGTGACATGCACGGGGGGTGGGGGTGGGGGGGTGGTGTGAATAAAAATGGCTGCCACAGGCCCACAGGGAGTGGCACTATTAGAAGGTGTGGCCTTGTTGGAGTAGGTTGGAGGAAGTGTGTCACTGGGGGCAGGCTTTGAGGTCTCAGATTCTCAGGCCAGGCCCAGTGTGGCAATTCTCTTCCTGCTGCCTGCTGATCCAGATGTAGAACTCTCAGCGACATCTCCAGGACCATGTCTGCCTGTATATTGCCATGCCTCCTGCCATGATGATAATGGACTAAATCTCTGAACTGTAAGCCAGTCTCACTTAAAGGCTTTTCTTTATAAGAGTTGCCATGGTCGTGTGTCTCTTCACAGCAATAGAACACTGACTAAGACACACAGATATAATGACTTCTGATACATGTTCAAGGACAATGTAGTCCTTGAAAGTATTCCATAGAGCGCTGTGATCTGGCTTTGCCAGGCTCATCTGCTGTTTATCTCAAGAACTGCACATCCCCTGCCCCCCACCCCTATGTCCCACCCCTGCCCCGTCCCCATTAATGAAAGCCAGCCTCCCAATCCATCTTACTGATCCTTACTGTGCCTTTGCAAATGCTCTCCTCTGGCTTTTGTGCACTTTCCCCCAGTGTCACCACAGCAGAGGACTATGCTTCTGTCGTCTTTGCTGTCAGCTCCTTTTCCAAGCACGGTGGCTGAAACAAAGAGCTCCTTTAGGCTGCCTCTCCGCGAGCCTCTTTTGTGAAGTTCGGAATGCTGGGTTTTGATTACTTCCTTGCTCATCTTTCTCTTTTATTAGATTTTTGAGGGTAAGATCTATGCGTTAATCATTGCAATCTTCCCAGCAGCTGTTACAGAGCTGAGGCAAATCATTGTAAATATCTGCAGAAAGAACAAGCGAATGAATGATTGAAGGAGAGGAAGTATGAGTTCCTGATGAAGATAATTTCTGCAGTTTGAGTGTGAATCCCAGCTGTGCCACTGACTAGAATTGTGACCTTAGCTTTAATGACCCTCAAGCCTTAGTTTTCCAATCTCAGAATGGGGCAGTTCGTCTTGAGGTAAATCTCAGAATTTACCTCAAGACGAACTGATGTCCATGTTTACTAATGGACAGCATCTATAGATACATGTAAGTTTGCCTTGTCACTAGTTATTTTTGGAGTGAGAGGACAAAATTAAAAGACAATGGATCTGCATCCTTTTATTACTTGTAATAAAAAATATACCCCTTAAATGCCCACTGGATGCAAAATGTGATTTTTTTTTTTTTTTTTTTTTTTTTTTTTTTTTTTGGTTTTTTGAGACAGGTTTTCTCTATGTAGCTTTGCACCTTTCCTGGAACTCACTTGGTAGCCCAGGCTGGCCTCGAACTCACAGAGATCTGCCTGGCTCTGCCTCCCGAGTGCTGGGATTAAAGGTGTGCGCCACCACTGCCCGGCCAAAATGTGATCTTGGAGAGAAACTGTGGAACGGGCCTCTGGGAGGGGGTAGGGTAAACCTGCCGAACTCTAAAGTAGAAAGGGAGATGTGCTGTAGAGAGGTTTCCAATTTTAGGTTAAGAGTTCAGTGGTAGTTGCCAGGGAGAGGTCTCCAGGTAAAGTGCTTGTTATGCAAGCCTGGAGACCTGGATTCGGATCCAGCAGCATGTGTTTATGATTCTGCTCCCACAGTAAGACAGGATGCAGTGTCAGCCCCTAGTGAGCAATGAAAGATGCTGTTTTAGACAATGTAGACGGTAAGGCCAGATGCCGGAGGCTGTCCCCTCACTTCCACATAGTCACTGTGCCATGCATGAGACTGCAATCACACAGGAACAAGCACAGGCCTGTGCTTCTCCTCCTGCAGAGAGGAGTTTGCAGCAGGACAGTGGAGGTTCTCTAGGAGAAGTGATGCTTGAGATGGATCTAGAGGGAAAGGCAGAAAGGTCTTAGTGACTCTGGAGGATGTGTGTGCCGACAGGGACAGGTACCTGAGAGGGACATGTGAGCTTCATTATCCTCCTAATGTTGTTGCTTTCTGGGAGGCTACAGTTTAGCCACCTGCCTTTGCTCCCAAGCACAGTGTTTCTAGGCTATCTTATGAACCTCTGGCTCTCTACCTAGGTAAAAGAGCCCCTGCTGTCCACAGCTAAGGTGGATCTTGGCTTGTTCCGTAGATGGCACTCCGCAGTGGCCGTTCTGCCGCTGCTCTTTGCAGTGTCCACCAGGCCCCGAGAGTGGCAGAGGTGCCATGGCATGGGTGATGGATCACATCCCCACAGAGCTATACAAAGGGAATGAGCCAACGCAGTCTTGGGAACCACTGGCAGTTCTCACCATAGATGTTATATTGTATCATTTAGAATCAAGCTGCTTGCCAATGAGCCAGGGAAACACACAGAGATGCTATAAAAATGGTTTT